TTCATTCTTAGGCTTGGCCTAGGAACGGGCAATAGCTGCGGGCAGGGAGACTCTAGGGTCACAGATTGCAAGACAGGCTCCTGACCTGATGCAACTTCAGGGGGGAGAATAGGAACACCCACATCTTCTGGAATAAGACCATTGCTCGGCATGAACTCAAATGCTCTTGAATCGATTAAATCCTGAACCTTGTGCTTAAAGGCTTTGCAGTTCTCGATATTATGCCCCGGTGCCCCAGAATGGAAAACACAATGGGCTGTTTTATCATAGCCTTGTGGTGGCTTACTGGCAAGTGGAGACATAGTCCGGAGTTTAACTAATCGAAGTTGAAGCAAGAGTTGCAACAACTGAGCATAAGTCATAGGGATCTGATTGAACATTCTGTCGGACTGCTTCGTCTTTTGAGCATACCTCATAATCCTAGGATTGTCTCGGGAAACAGGAAGTAGTTGTTGGCGAGGAAATACTGGAACCTCAGGTTGTGTAAGATATCTTTGAGGCACTCCACGCCTTGGGAGAGGTTCCACATGTAAAGGTGGGATGGCCATCTCTGCTGCAGCTTCGGGCACACAATCGCCTTCCTTTCTCAACACATTCCTCATAACTTCTGTTATCAGGCCCATCTGAGTCTTCAGTTGATTATTCTCCTCTCTGAGTATATCCTGATCCAAGCGCAGCGCTTGCATCTTTGCCACAAACTGCCCCAACTGGCTCTGAACTTCCCTTAGTTCTTCTCGAATCTGTTCCATGGTCGTCTCTGTTGGTTTCCTTTGGTGGAATACTGGTGAATGGCTGGATCTTCAATTCTGGAACAAACCGGATGGAAAACCACATGAAGCAATTACGTCCACAAAATTAGAACACCTCTATGCAAATGAATAATGATGTAATATGCAAGACATGCGAAGAAATGCAAATGAATATGCAAATGCAACAGGGGATCAAATGTTGTTGTGTTGTTGACGGTGACGGACCAGCGCTTCGCCTTGAAACCAAACAACATTAGTACAAGGATCCCACTGTAACTGTTCATACTGACAAACGGGTAGGATGAAGGTCAAAGTTTTTCCTGCAAGATAGCAACAAAAGGTATTTTTCCCCTTGGGTGAGCAATCTATCGGTTTAAAAGAGGGTATTCCAAAGGCTTTTCAAACAAAGTCCCATGCACTAACCCTCAAAAGTTCCCCATCATAACGACTACTCGTAAGACGGTAATCCCTTCAAAAGGATGAACACAGAGTTATGTTTTAGCAACCTTTGGAACAAGGTTCTACAAAAGGTCCTCAGAATCGCGGACTCCCAAGTTGAAGATAAGAACGCCGTTACGACTACACGTAAGACATAATTATTCCAACGGGGTCTCATCTGAGCGGTGGAATTCGATCCAACTCAACGAGTCCTAAGTCTCGCAAATCAAAAAGAAACCACCTCCTAACTTAGTGCATACTCGAAAGCTCGGGTAGAAAGCTTTATCCTCACAAACCAAACCAAATGAACCCAACAAGTTAGAAAGAAACATAACCATAAAATAAATAGCAAAACAAATAAAGCACAAATGCGACAAACAAAATAGGCGTGGCTTGCTAGGTAGGTTCCCCAGCAGAGTCGCCAGCTGTCGCTACTCGAAAAAAATGCATCGCGCAACGACGGGGAGGCGAAAAGAAAGGACAGAAGAGTCGCCACCGAACTTTATTTATCCCATGAGGGGAAAGGAAAATATCGAGAAAACCTTAAGAAAATAAAATGGATAAGATGGTCTCGCGACCAAGAACGGGTTCGGAAGCCGGTTATGCGAGGGGAAGGTATTAGCACCCCTCGCATCCATCGTACTCGATGGGAACCTTTTGTTTGTCGATGTGTGAATTTATTTGCTTAAATATTATGCTATAATAAGCGTGTTCCAAAGGGTAAAGAAAGAGGATAGAAACAAAGGGGAAGAGAGGAGTAACGGGGGAAAAGAGAGAAAGAACAGACTCGGTAGGACTTCGCGGTCCTATGCCTACGTATTCTCAATAGATGTGAGAAAATCAGAGTCGACGTAGTTCGGGGAACTACAGATATGGGGGGATGTGCTCGGCAAGGATTGTGGCCCTTGTGCCTACGTATCTTTACTTGAAGAAGTAAAGAATCAGAGCAGCCGTAGTTCGGCCTACGGTTTGCGGATGTTTTTATGGATGATGCTATCGTGCGCATTCTAGCAGTTAGGTGTTTTGTTGCTCGCTCGTTGGAGACTTAGGCGTTACCTGTTTGCGGTAGAACGGACGTATCATATCCTTTTGAAAGATTGATTTTCGCCATGCGAGGCAAGGTGTCACGTTTGATTGGTGAGATTATTTTTTAGGGGCGAGATAAGTCCTCGGATAGTAACCCCTACGGGTAGTACCCAATTCTTTATCTCAAAGTTTTTGTTGTAAAAAATGTGTGGCGAACGAGGCGTCTTCGTATTGAAAGACTAGTATAAAGACCACACACACTACAGTGAGTATCCTGACACTCGGAGAGGAAAAAGACTACACTCAATCCTCTCTCTTTAGTTCAACACAAAGAGAACTTCATTCTCTTATTAAAGTGTTTTTGGTTTTGAATGGTAAGTGCTTTTTGCGACAAAGAACCCTACGGTAAACGTCAGCACTCGGGATAGGAGAAGGCCTACGCCTAACCACTCCACGACCATTCAAGTTTTTGTTAAGAAAAGAGTTTGAAAATGCACTCGGTGCGGGACCGAGGTTTTTAGGTGACAAGGGTTGCGGGATGAAATTGTGAAAAGGAGAGGTGGTATGGAAACGTCTTCGTATTGAAAGACGAGTGTCGGGACCACCCTCACTACAGTGGGCATCCCATCACTCGGAGAAGAAGAGGTCTACACCCAATCTTCTCTCTTTAATTCGATACAAGGAGGAAATCAATTTATTATTGAAAGTATACTCAGTACGAGACCGAGGTTTTATGAGGAAATGTTGGAAGCGTCTTTGTATTGAAAGACGAGTGTCGGAACCACCCTCACTACAGTGGGCATCCCAACACTCGGAGAGGAAGAAAGTCTACACTTAATCCCATCTTTTTAATTCAATACAAAGATAATTTGATTTTGAAAATTGTTTGACAAAGTTTTGAATCGAGTCGGGACAAGTAATGAAGAGAGAAAAAGAGGTGGTCTCAGATCCAACATTACTCATCAATAATTTGACTGGTAATGAATTACGGAGGTCTCGTCATCGACCAAAAGACAGAAAATGGGACAAAATGCTCAATAACAAAAATGAAAATTAACTTTAAAAAGAAAATAATCTTCTAATATGAAATAATCTTAAAGTTCTAAAATAAATAATATAGAAACTATGGTTTGAAAAAGAGGAATATTAAGAAAAATATATACATAAGAAAAATTCAAAATAAAGTTAGAAAGATTATAAAAATAAATAAAATAAAATAATAAAAAAAAGATTAGTATAATATATTTACAAAATTAAAACTAATGTCATATAATATAAATAAAACAATAATAATACTTAATTATTATATATATGAAGTTAAGAAAAATGAAAAAAATAAAAAAAACAGGGAGGGGTTAGTATGGAAGGGAGTCAATTCACACATGTTCAGAAAACACTTCAATATGCTTTCTATTCTCAAATTGCCTTGCCGGAGTGCTAACCATCTCCACCGCACCAGAGTTCGCCGCCGGCGGCGGCGGAGGCGCGAACCTGAAAACTCTTACCTCATCTCACTCGTTTCCCTCTACTCGTCACGAATCTAAACTCCATTTTCCACAACTCCTTACTAAAAGTCCAAACCGAATCAGTTTAAAGTATGAACCCTAACCTTCTAAGGATCAAAATTACATGGAAAAGAAAATGAGTTAAAGTCTAAACTGTTAGGGCTTTAACTCCGGCAATTCGTATCTACATTGCGGTGTGCTTAAAGCGTCAAGAAAGAAGGGGGCGATAACCAACCTACGAAGCTGAGGCTCGCTTTGGTTGTTTGCTGAAGAAGACGAAGATGAAGCTTGAAGAATCAAAAGCAACAGAAACCTCTACGCAAGCTCCCAATCCTCTACTTCTTTTCAATCTTTATGCTCTTATTCTTCTTCAATTCTTGCACGTCTGTGTTCTTTTAGTGTCGTTGTTGATGCAGTGCGTGTGAATGAAATTGATTGTAGCAGAGAGTGAAAGGGAAACAGAGAGAATTTGAGGGTGATTTGGTGAAGTTTTGAGAAGTGAATGATTGATGAGTGGTGTTGAGTTGGAAGATAGAAGGTGAAGTTATGGTGATGGAGAGGGAGTGTTGCTGATGGAGAGCAAAGTTGTTGCTAACAGTTCGTTCTCTGGTGAAATAAGATTGATGGTTACGCAGCGGCACGATTTTTGAAGTGCGGTTGGGTGTGAAAGAAATGGCAGCAGAGGTTGAGTTTGATGAGGTTCGATTTGTTAATAGTTTGTGAAATGGTTTTCACGAGAATCTGAACTGAAGGAATGATGAAAAACATTCAGGTTTGATTTTGTTTCACTATATGATTTTCGTTCTCTCTTCCTGCATCTTTTCTGATTCTTGTTTGTTGTGTTTTCTGGAGCTGTTGTTGATGAACTTTAAGGTTGAAGATTAGATGTGTTTGAGGGCTGAGAGGGAGGTTCCGAGCGGTTTCTACTTGTTGCTGCAAAGTGGTTTCGAAGACAAAGATTGTGGTTTTTGGAGAGAGTGAAGAGTAGTGTCTGAGTTTTTTCTTTTTGAGTGAGGATCTGTTGTGTGGTATATATAATTGAGGTTGGTTTGAAGCAACCTTTTCAAAAAAGTTCCTTGTCTGGCATGGGATTTTCGTAGCAGAATTTGTCTGGTGTGTTGAGTGCAGTAGTGGTTTGCAGAACTTGTCTGGTGGTACGGTTTGTGCAGAGTATGTTTGTTGGTCTGGTGTGGGGTGAGCTGAAGTATAGCAGAGTGTGTGCTTGTGGCTTTCTGATGTACTGTTTTGTTTGTTTCCAATAACAGCTGGCTATTATGTGGTGTCATTGCTGCATAACAAAACTTCTGTGACTTTGCAGGTATTGGCTTATGGTGGAAAAGGATGGAGTTTGCTGACAGATTTTAAGAGCTGAAATCCTAGTTGTCATAGCATTCCTTCTTGTTTGAAAAGTAGGAACAAGTTCTTCACTCTTCCTGTTTGACATTGGACTCTCCCATGGTTTGTTCGCCATCCAGCGTTCTAACAAGTTGTTCCCTAAGCTCTTGTTGTCGCGGTTGTGAAGATGCTTGAGAGGAGTCACTGATTTCGAGTTCGGACTAGCACTCATTCTCGACTGTGCCGAAAGAGAGTATGCCATTGCTCTATCCCTCTTGACTGCACCTTCTTGTCTCAGTCTTAGCTTTGCTTTAACTTCATCTGCAGTTCCAGGAATTTCACACCATCCTTGCTCTATGAGTTTAACAGAATCAACTTGGTTGCGATGGTCGTCTAATAACTGCTGAACTGCTTTTCCTTCTGGAGAATTCCTGACATTCCTAGCCCTTACACGAGCTTGGACTCTAACAAGAGCCTGCATGCACCTTAGAGTAACAGCGGCTTGTTTTCGCACTTGCCTGCCTCTAAATATAGCTTGCAGCCTCACCACTACCCTCAATGCCCTCAAAGCTCTTCTAGCCAAGAAGGCTCGAAACAAAGCCTGAATTCGAATAGCCGCCCATTCCTGTCTGATGAGGTTAAAATCCTTAGGTTGAGCTCGAACCATCACAGCAACCGCAGCTGCAGTAAGCGAAGAATCACACACGGAAGCAGTACCACCACCACCACTCTTCTTCATACTTGAACAAGAAGAAGATCCTTCTGAAGATGACTTCCACAGCTTCCATTTCTTCTTAGTAGGACCACTCTTGTTATCACCATTAATCTTCTTCTCTTGATCGGTTGTTGTTGTAGTTGAAGATGAGATTTTTTTATGAGAAAGAAGTGATTTGAACCATTTTCCTGAGGCACCCATTGGAGAGAAGAAACCGTATTTGGAGAGAAAGTAAAACAGAGATAGAAAGAGAGTTTTTTTTTGTTCATCTTTCTGTTTCATTTTGTTGATGTTATACTCTGGTTCTGTCATGAATTACATGGTGTAGTCATTGTTGCTTGTGCTGTTGGAAGTGTACAACAATCCACAGATTCGTATCTTGGGGTTGCAAAATGTTCTTAAATACAGGTTTTGTGCAGGTCACATAGCAGTAGGAGTTTTTTGGAGATGTGGAGGGAAATTTGTAGCAGGGTGTTGTCTTGCGTACTGATACGGCTGGTGCGGTTTCATGCCGGGATGTTGGTTTGTTCCATATTAAAAATTTATTCCATATTTGTGTGCAGGAAATGGTTGTGCCGATGCGTGTAGCAGCAGAGGTTGTGGGCTGTGTAGGTTTTGTCCTGTTGGTGAGTGCAAAAAAATGAGATGACGAGTTTGCCGCGTGAAGCCCATCGCGTGAAGCCTTGGTGTTGGAAGCCAAATTTAACTGAAGCTCGGGTTCTTGCTTGACTACAAAAGCATGTCTATTACAATCAAATGCAGGTCTATAGAACTTTTCTATATTGTGACATCTTCTTTTCTGCTCAATTCCGTCCAAAGAAAAACTTGGAGTGGTGCGACCATGGTCACTACTAGATCTGGATTCGGTCCGGTCAGTAGGTTCTGTTTTCAATTTGATAGGTAGAGTTGCATGATAACTCCCATTTCCTGCTCTATTTAAGGATAAACTAGTACTGCATTGTTTATCTGGAGGAAGATTATCTTGTTTATCTTCTACGCATCTGGAAACCGGTGGCTGTCCATTTCCAATATCTGGAGGGGGGTATAACGGTTTGTTGTGCTGCAGCATTCTGTTTGCTTCCCTTTTTATGCAGGTACATGTATGAAGGTGGTTGTTTGCATTGGTTTTATGCAAGAGAGAGTAACAACTTATGAGTTCAGGTTGTGAATGGTTTTCTGCCGTTACAGTATGCCATGAATTCCAACACATTCTCATTTTAGCTAATTATTTCCTTTTGGCATGATGTGTTTATCATGATACTAATTCTGTCTTGGTTGGATTTTGATTCTTACTGATATAATGACTTTGGTGCAGCTGTGTTTGCCGGAATATTCTCGATCCCCATCGTCACCTGCTGCTGTGGCTCTTGCTGTTGCGCCGGCGCTGCATCTTCTATCACCGTGTCACCTGCCGGAGCTCCTCCTCCTCCTTCCATTATTCTTCCTCAACAAACTGATTTGTGTTGCTTTGGGTTATTCTTCTTTTGCTGCATAATAAGGAGGCATTTGTTGCAGGTTGAATTCGGTTTATGCCACTGCATTGCGGTAATGTGCTGTTGTGGGAAGGCTATTGTTGAAGGCTTGTAGCAACCGCGGATATAAGTCGATGCGGATTAGGGAGAAATGAAGGCAACTTAACGATGAGGACCTTCGAAAGTTTTGAAAGAAATCCCAAACAGATTCAAAATTTAACAGATTTTACTCTTTTGACACAACTTGTAATACTAACTTCAAGTATTGAATTTGAATGTACTTTTTCCTCTTTGTAAACTCAAACTTGTATATTATTTGTAATCAATGATTTTCTATACAAAAACTATTCAACAAAAGTTCATAATAGAACTTGGACTAAGTCCTGAAGCAAACTATCCAAGGCCTGGTCATGTTTCAGCGTGACATTATGACATCATTTTGGCTTAAAGTCCTTGGAATCAATACAAAGGAGAAAAACATATGACTGTATCTTTAAGATATCTCTAAATCTTCAAAACCACCTTAAGTATGTCTTAAAGATAATCATATCCTAAACTTCGCAAAGCCACCAATTATAATTAGATATTTTGATGCAAGATTTGAGTTTGTTTATTTTTCAATTCAAATTGAACCCCCTTGTTTGAACACAAATTGATGGCCTCTTGGGAATCATCTGTTATCGGCCAGAATTTCCACGTGAGCTCACAAATACACTTTAAGATATAAACACCCTCATTGATAAAATCGCTCCTGGAAGCACGTCTAAGAACCGTGGTTTTGTAAACAAACTAAACACTCCTTTAAACACATACTAATCATGCCATGAGCTCTCTGAAGCGAATTTCAATATAATCTTGTATCATGACTTCAACTTGAAATTAAGTCATGCCTTAGAATTGAATGCACAGAAAAGTTTCAAATCCACATAACCACTTGGTATAAGGAAATCTCAAAGGTAGGACAAATTGGGGTATGACATGCAATGTGATATGCTAATGCAATGAAATGAAACATAAACCAAATGGAGAAAAGGTAGGGCAAATTTTGGGGTACAACAGGCGTTAGATTCAAAGATTTTTAAGAGACATGATCATTAATTCTAAGACATGGACGTTTTGGTTAATAAGAAATGTTTATGGTCATGTAATTTCCAAGTCATGGTCCATAGTTTCTTGAGTGGCAAAGCTTTGATTCATTTACTTTAAAATGTCTTGGAATTCAAGAGGTTGAATTTGTTTTCAAGTGTGAGCATGATATGTGGGGACTTTTAATTTGAGAGTTGTTCTCATTTCATGGATTGATCAAGTGTGGTGTAAATTGCAAAAGTTGAGTATGAATAATATGTCCAAGCCCAATTCAATTGTCACAAAAAAAAAGAGGTTCAATATATGTTACAATCCATAAAATTCCTACATTGCAACAAGCCCATTTGATTTCAATAATTAAAGAGTTCACTTTTGGTTTACAAGATTACAAATTGAAAAATGATAAAAGAACAAGGAATCATTGGTTCTGATGCAAGCCCACAGTTACATCCAGGCTAGTACCGTCATATTTCATATTGATCCAAAATTGCCTTTCAACTAGCTTAATTCAATTCGCTCAAGAAGACTTTTGAAACCGACACGACAGAAGCCGACAAAAGCTGCGACTTCGCAGCACAATGCACCTACAACAGAACTTCACCACCATTTTCCTTCAACATATGGTACGACATACCAACAAAGAATAACAAATTCAGAGCGCCATCCGTTACCTGCAAGAAAAGGACAGCAGCAACAACGTTTTAATAAGCACAACTGCCAGCCTACAGGTCGTACGCACACAACTGCAAAACCCCATAACACCTCAATTCCTGCACAAGTTACAAACCCGCAAACACACACCATTTTCCAAAACAACTCACGCACCGGCACACCATCAGAACGCGAGAAATTATTCCTTTCATCTACTTTATATTCTAGCCGCCTCGAGTTGCCGAGCTTTATCAACCTGCAACCTGTCAAAAATTGAGATGAAATTCCAATAAGTCACTCCATAAACTAATCTACATGACAAGGTAACTAAAGTGGTGATCAAGAAATTTCCTGCAACAAAGAGTCCTACACAATTCGTCAGCAAAAAGAAAGAAGCAGGCCCTTAAAACCATTTGTTGAGGCATGTCCAGTTTTCTTTCTCAAAATTGAAATGCAAAATGTGAACAATAGTGAATATGAATTTGATTCTAGAGTAATACTTACCAAAACTTCAGTCAAGGGTACGAACCAAAGTGATTTCTGTGAACACGGTGGCACTAGTAAACTTAGGGAAGCTCTAACATTGGTTCCCGTAGATTGGCCAAGAATCGCTTAAGCATTAGTTAAAGCAAAAGGTTGAAATTAACAGAGTACACAACCATCTCACACTACCACAAGGTTGGTACCTGCACAAAAACAACAGAAAACCAAATAACTCAGCAGCAAACCCCTTGCAACACTACTGCACAACCGTACCGCGCATGCCACAAACCACACCAAGCCTGCTACGAAAATACACCAGTCTACCACACCAGACAATACCTGCTACAAGCCTACCACAAGATAAAAAAAAACACCATAATGAAACCTGCTACAAACTCACACCAGACCAACAAACATACTCTGCACAAACCGTACCTTGCAACACCACTAGCTACAACCTTTCTGCTACCAACAATGCCCCATGCTTTACCCAATTCGTGACAAAAACAGTCCTGCAAAACACAGCCAGGATAAAGACAGAGTGAAATTACAATGAGGGGGGATCATTTTTCAAAAAGAAAAGAGAAAAAAGAACAAAAAAATGAATTTAGAAAAGTGAGAAAAAACAACAGAAAACCACAACAGTTGGTAGAAAAATCTCTTCTTAACTTTCACTTTTCGATAACCACAAGGGAAGAACCCCAAAAACTCTTCATTCACCAGCCTCAATACTCACCTTCAAATGGCTACACATTCCACCAAATAGCAAAAAACTCATTTTCGATCAAAGCATACCAAGTTAGTTGGGACTTCTGCTTCCCGTGTTTGCAGACCATCAATGAAAAGCTGAAAACTAGCACTGCTAACACATTCATGTGAGCAAACAAACAAATTCAAAAAAAAATTCTTCAGCCATTCCAACAGAGCTTTGTTCAACCTATTTCCTTCAAGAAATACCAGCTCACCTTCAACTTCAAACACAACCCTTTCAGTCTCCATCACCCAACAAGCTCCTTTCACTACCAAGACTCTGCTCAACACAAACACTCTCTGTTCTTCTCTCACACACATCAAACACTTTTTCTTCAACAGCGCAACCTCCATTATCATTCTTAGAACATCAACAAACCAAATCACTGTGAAAACCCTGTCTTCGAACTCACTCTTCAGCCTTCATCTTCTACCACAACATAACCCTTCTCTTCAAACACAACAGAGTAAAGAACACCAATATCAAAATCTCAGAGGGAACCTTCAACCTCTGAACTGAAAATTCCGCTCACATTCTTCCTTCACTCTCATTTCAAAAACTCCTTCTCACAAGAACAACTTCAAAACACCCAACATCCTTCTTCCATATCTTCTTCTTCATGACTACAGAAAATACCACCACCTGCTCTAAACCTCAAACCGAACATTCAACTTCTGAAACTAACTCAAACTACCAACAAACCTTCCGACTTTCATGAACAAACCACTAACAATACCAAACGGACCCTGTTCATTTTC